TTTTGCATGGAAGGTTGCCGTAGGAAAGGGAGGTTGATTCCGACTGAGGAGTGGACCAGGGTATCTCAGCAGGAACGATTTGTCTGTGATACTGGAAATAAAGGGAAAAGATTGACATATTTGGTAGTGGCATCACCATGAAAGTGTTGGAAATTCTCAATGATGATCTGCTGAATACAAAGGCTGATGAAGTGAAAAGTAAGGACAGAACCAAACCTCTCCTTCGTTCTGAAAGGGAAGGAAGGGGGTTTTATTGTGTGAAACTCTAATACATCTTGGTCTTTCTGATGTATTTGTTCCAAAACAGCATCAGTTTGATTCACATATTTTACTGGTCACATTTTTCTTGCGCGTATACATTCTGGGATGAGCCACTCCATTAGGAATAAAGAGATTCCCTTCAGAAATTTAGCATACATGCTTCTTCTGATTCATTATAATTGCAAACTTGATTGGTCTGCATTATTAACCTCCTGAGAGAAGGAAAACACAGACTAACAGCAACGTATGAATAGTGTACTCTGTATAAGAAATAAAATTTTGCTGGCACTACTTTTGCTACTAACATAGCATACAAGTAAACAATTTTCTGAGAAATAACTGGTGAGTTTAAAAATGCTCACCATTTCTAATGTGTAGATTTTCCAGCAACTTGTAACTATCAAGAAATATGCTATGAATTGCAAATTGCCACAAATTACTGGATGATTTATGACAATCCACTGTTAGCCACACAGAAACAGCGGCTGACATATAAACTACAGCACCCCTAACTTCGAGTTTCATGAAGTTTCTGCTTTTGCACGTTAATAGACAAATTAATTTCTAATAGACAGTTAAACCTGAAATTTAACACCATAGGTTTATTTTTAATGAGGAGATATATGTTTCTGCAGTGTCATTTCATTGCTTCAACCCGGATGGAGATAATTTAAACTGTAGTTTCTTATTTCTACACAAATTGCTTGGTTTTTCATTTTATTTTGCTTCTCTTTTTTTTCTCTTAAGTCCAGTCCCTAATTTTCTTTCTTGAAATTTCTTTTAATTTGCCCTCGTTTACCATTTGTCTCTTTCACTGCCTATAGGTCTAAGATAAAGAGATGTACTGCTTGTCACATTGATAAGGTTGTCCTTGTTACATCAGTATCGGTTCATGGCATAAAATCTTTTCTGAGTTGAAGGATGAAGGAAAACCATCTAACTAACTAGGCATGGGATGAAGTGATCCTCTTCAGCAATATCTTCACCAGATTTTGTTTTTAAATTCGGCGAGATTTAATGACATTGTTCTCCATGCTGGTCTCTAAAGAAAGTAACATTCCTCTGAATTTTATTCATCTTTTATTTAATTCTATGATTCTGTCATTCCTTTGGTGTTCTCGGAGAATATAAACTAATAGGGCTTGACTGAAGTCTCAGTCTGTTCTGATCATGAGTATCAGCATGAATGAGTCATGTTGCAGGAAAACCAGAGGTAGCATATTGCAACTGCCCACTCAATTCTAAGATAAGCATTGTTAGATAATGTATCTGAGAAAGAAATTACTAAGCTTAATAATTATTCTACCTGTGAACTAAGAGTAATCTGTCAATTAAAACAACTCACATTAGGGATAACACAGTGTGGAGCTGGAGGATAACACAGAGGGACCTAGGGGTTCAGGTACATAATTCTTTGAAATTTATGGCACAGGTAGACAGGTGGTTAAGAAGACACTTGGCATGCTTGCCTTCATTGCTCAGACCATTGAATATAGGAATTGTGACATCATGTTGATATTGTACAGGATTTTGGTGAGACCTCATCTGGAGTACAATGGGCAGTTCTGTTTGCCCTGCTATGGCCAGACAGCATCAGAGGAGAAGGAAAGCTGATGTTTTGGCTGACTAAAGAGATAATAAGGTGTAGAGCTGGATGAACACAGCAGGCCAAGCAGCATCAGAGGAGCAGGAAGGCTGATGTTTCGGGTCTGGACACTTCTTCAGAAACAATCTGGCTGACTCTAGCATCTGCAGTTCTTACTATCTCTGAACTTACATTAGGGCCTGCTTCTCATCCTTCCCTCTACTGATCATGTTCTTCCAGTCAGAAATCAATTCAGACAACTGTTTTACATACTAGGGCATGAACACAAAACAACATTAGCTTTAGCAAAGCTCTATTCATAAATGCAGTGCCCATTATGAAGTCCATATATATTTGTTTCAGTACCAATCTATACTTGGTTTCCTCATCTCAGTTGGAGGGGAATGAAGTTACTACCATTGGTCACATACCTCAAGTTATAAGAAAAGTATGAGTTTGTGGCCAATTATCTAGCGTCTCAGGGTATAAAGAACTTGCATAAAGATATTGAATAAGAAAGGAATGGAGTAAAGCCTTTGACGAGGTTTCTCATGGTTGACTAATTAATAAAATTAGATCACATGGGATTCAGGGTGAGCTTGCCAATTGGAGACAAAATTGGCTTGATGGTAGGAGACAGAAGGTAGAGGTGGAAAGTTTTTTTTGGACAGGAATCTGTGCTGGGACTAATTTTGTTTGTCATTTATACAAACAACTTGAATGAGAAAGTAGGAGGCATGGTTAGTAAGTTTTCAGATGACACCAAAATTGTTGGTATAGTGGACAGTTAAGAAGGTTATCTAATATTACAAAGAGATCTTGATCAATTGGGTAAATGAGCTGAGAAGCGCCAGATGGAGTTTAATTTGGATAAATGTGAGGAATTGCATTTTAGTAAAACAAATGAGGACAGTATTACAAAATTAATGATAGAACCCTGAGTACTAGGGTAGAACAGTTGTAGAACAGAGGGACCTAGGGGTTCAGGTACATAATTCTTTGAAATTTATGGCACAGGTAGACAGGTGGTTAAGAAGGCACTTGGCACGCTTGCCTCTGTTGCTCAGACCATTGAATATAGGAGTTGTGACATCATGTTGATATTGTGCAGGATTTTGGTGAGACTTCATCTGGAGTACAATGGGCAGTTCTGTTTGCCCTGATATGGGAATGATATTATTAAACTAGAGAGGGTTCAGAAAAGATTTACCAGGAAGTTGCTGGGAATGGAGGCTTTGAGTTAGAAGAATAGATTGGATAGGCTGGTACGTTTTTCATTGGAGCACAAGAGGATGATGGGTAACATTATAGATGTTTATAAAATCATGAGGAGCATAGATCAGTTGAATAGCAAGGGTCTTTTCCCTCGGGTGGGGAAGTTCAAAACTAGAGGGCATATTTTTAACATGAGAAGAGAAAGTTTTGAAAAGGACATGAGGTGCAAATTTTAAACGCAGAGAATGGCTTGTGTGTGGAATGAACTGCCAGAGGAAGTGGTGGAAGCCAGGTATAGTTACAACATTTAAAAGACATTTGGACAAGTACATGAAGAGGAAATGTTTGGAGGGATATAGGCCAAATGCAGACAAGTAGGACTAGTTTAGTTTGGGATCGTGGTCAGCGTGGACTAGTTGGACTGAAAGGTCTGATTCCATGCTGTATGATTCTATGTTCTGTGACCCCTCTTGCAGCCAAGCAGGCTGTCAACATTTTGACTTATTTTGCTCATTGTCAGTTGTGCCACAGTTATTACCAATTTTCAACCAGAAGGTTCATCAGCAAAATGAGCAACATTAAAATTTCCTCATAGTTCAGTATATTCATTTTTTGGCGTATTTTAGATGTGACTTGATATTTAAACTGTGTACAATTCTGTGCATGAATTTCTTCATTGGCTGATGCCTGGCATATTTAACTATACTGCTTCATAGATAGATGCCAACTGTTCCCACTGGATAGCATAGAATGATCACACTGACTTCACTGATGAAGATGGAAAAGTCCTCTTCTAAGTCATGCAAGACAGTCGTTTCTCACTCCTCGGCATGTCTTTCTTGCAGCCTGTTGCATTACTTGTAGTGAAACTTGTTTGGTATCGAGTGCTAACTCTCTTGCATTCAGTTTTCCAGAAAACAGTGACTGCACTTAATGAACATGGGCAAATGTAGCATTTTATCCATATTTTCTCTGTGTATTCTGGACGACATCACACTCTTCATTCTCTTAAATAATGAAGCTTTCAAGTTATGCAATGGATAAAACATATCCAGCTCACCCATACTTATCAACTGTCTTGTAAACCTCTAAACAGCTTCATTCACCTCAACATTCACATTCTCCCCATTGTCTCACTTCATCTCTCCTGGAATAATTACCCCAGAAAGCTTCATTGAGAATTGTCCTGAAGACATATAACTTCTAAACCACTTAGATTGTGATAAAAGAAATGCTTGCTCTGAAAAACACTAGGTAGTTGCATTTTCATTTTGTTGCTTATAAATGTTGTAGTAAATCAGGAAATTGACCATGCATTAGATTTGAGTCTCTTCATGAAGAAGAGGAAAATGGCACAGGAAGAGGAGCATGGTTGAGGCACTGCAACTGTAGTTGATTAGTCAGTGATGTCCTGCGGATAATGCCTTCTGATGTATTTTGCAATAGTGTGAAGAAATGAACTACATGAAAGATGAGCTAGGTGCCTGGGAATAGGGGCCCTTTCCTATCCTCATATCCCAATGCCACATATGCTGTGTATGTATGTGCCATTATGAAGAATCCAGCTTTCCTGCATTTGTTCCTTTCTTTCACACTGTTAAACAGACAGAGGTAACCTATGTTTAGTGTAACAGCATAGTACACTGAAATGGACTTGAATGCAAATTTCCTTGATTTTATGGTACAGTCATGGTATGACAGTGGAATAAATACTGAAGATTAACAAAACTATTCAGGATGATGGTCTATTGTCAGAGAATTGAAGCATAATCAGTTAGAAAATACCGATGCTTGATGAAGTTATTACCATAAGTCCATCAGTGCAATTAGAGAAATTGTTGGGGACCGTTGGATTTAGAAACATAAAAAAAGACTATGACAGTGCCAGTATTAATTTTGATTTTTTTAATATATAACTTCATGATATTCTTTTTCTAGCATGCATTTGATACAAATGGATTCTGTGCAGCGTTGGATGGAGGACTTGAGATTAATGGCAGAATGTGAGTGCATGTGCATACTTCAGTCAAAGCCCATCAGTGTGGATGGTGATGGACTCAATGAGCTAGTCATAACATCTCAGCAAAAATTACAAGACAGCTTGCAGACGCTATTGAAGAGAGCATGGACAATAACCACAGAACTGTCCAACATTTTCTACAAGCTTGAAAAAAACAGGTGGCAATGGATTCATTGCACAGCCGTGAGGATGAACTGTCATGTCAAATCGTTGATAAGTGAATACAACAGTTACACTAGGACTGCTTCAGCGGAGATACAACAGGTAATGGTGATTGATTCAACTTAGTTCTGAATTACAGTATTAGAAACAAAATAATATAATTTTAATATCATCTAATGAATTTAAAATTCTGTAACAATAGATTAATTATTTTTAGATATTTCATTGTGCAGTTACAATATGAAACCTTTAATACTGAGAGGTAAGCTAAATCATGACAATGACAGAATTATTAAACTTAAGAGGACAGGTTATACAGCTGCTTCATCAATGACTTTCCCTCCATCATCGCATCAGAAATGGTGATTTTCATTAATGATTGCAAAATACTGGGCACCATTCACAACTCCTCTGATCTCGCAGTCCATGTTCAAATGTAACAAGACCTGGACAATATTCAGGCTTAGCCTGACAAGTGGCAAGTAACATTCACGCACCACAAATGCTGGGCAATGACCATCGCCAAACAAAGACAATCTAACCACCACCCCTTGACATTCAATGGTGTTACCATCTGTGAATCCCCCACAATCAACATCCTCGGGTTTATCATTGACCAGAAGTTCAACAGGACTCACAACATAGTTACATTGGTGGCAAGAGCAGATCAGAGGCTAGGAATACTGTGGCGAGTAACTCACCTCCTGACTCTACCAAAGTCTGTGCACCGACTATAAGGCACAAGTTGGGAGTGAGATGAACTTTGCCTGATGAGTGCCGCTCCATCAACACTCAAAGCTTGACACCATCCAGGACAAGCAGATTCCTTCATTGGCACCACATCCACAAATATCCACTCTGTGTACCACCGACGCTCATTAACAGCAGTATGTACTATCTTCAAGATACACTGCAGAAATTCCCTAAAGATCCTTAGACAGCACCTTCCAAACCTATGATCACTTCCATTTTGAAGGACAAGGCAGCAGTTACATGGAACACCTGCAAGTTCCCCTCCAAATCACTCCCTGTCCTGACTTGGAAATATATTGCTGTTCCTTGAAAGTCACTAAATAAAAATTGTAGAACTCCCTCCCTATTGGCATTGTGGGTTTACCGATAGCACATGAACTGCAGCAGTTCAAGAAGACAGTTAGCCACCGTCTGAAGAACAGCTGCAGATGGGCAATAAATGCTAGCAAGTCAGCTATGCCCACTTCCAGTGAATGAATTTAAAACAAAACCCGGGCTAAATGTTAAGTTATTGAGGAATGTGAAAACACAACAGGCCCTCCAATAAGCCACCCCACCATCTTCAGACCAGCCACATTTGCTGAAGTTACCAGCATCTAAGTGTATTTAAATGTGTTCGGTAATGCAATGCTGGTAAGCAAATTAAGAAATCTCTTCTTGGCCTCAGAAAATCACTCCGGTGTATTAAGCAATGTGACCACCATTTGTATTTAGCTCTTTTATTGAAATATATTTGCAGGTTTGGGAAAACCTCGTTAACCTGAAAAGTTGACTCTGTCTTCCTCTTTCTGCAAGACCTGCTGAGTTTTTCCAGATATTTCTGCTTTTATTTCAGACTTTTAGCATCCACAATATTTTGTTTATCTGTGTACATATTTGCTGATCATAAACAACTAGAGGATGATGTGGAACACTAATGGATAAATGTGACACAATTTTGCATTTTTCAAAATCATAAGTATGACATCCTTGTAGTGTTAGCAGTAGATACTGCTCGGGAGCATGTGTCTGAATTTGAAAATGAGATTGATAATTTAACAATATGACAGTTCCTGTTCAAGCCATTCAGTCATTTCAGAGAAAGGAGAACATTTCTCAGGTTCCTTTTGTTCTGCAATAAAGTTGCCTCTTGATGGCTAATGCACATAATTGCCTGGATGCATCCAACTCTAAATAATCTCTTCAAAGGAGACATTTATCTTAAGTTACATTTTTGCTTTGCAAGAGTAAAATCCTACAATACCTCACTCTCCAGTTATTGATGCAATGTGCCAAGCTCCTGACTTACTTCCAGACAAGAATGAGCAGAATTCTTCATATGCTCCTGTTCCACTTTCTGTGACACACTGCTCTAATGAAGAATTATCACATACAGCCATTGAAAATGTCATGGAAGTACCAAAGCCCTGAACTGTCTTCAGCAGCTATACTGATCCTCCAGCCATTAATTGTCAGACTGAGTGTTTTGAGATCTTACAGGCTATATCGAATCGTAGAGTACAGCAAACACTGCACATGCAGAAGGTCCCTCAGTCACAATGAGGAGGAGTAGGGTACTACTTGAGTGAGGTGGTGGAATGGCAGGTAAGTAGGAAAATACTTAGAATAGGTCAAAAGGTTGGGTTGAGGGCAGATTTTTGCCTGGGGTTTTACGCAGGATGTCATAAAGGGTTTATTGCTGGTCAGGGAATGTCAAGTCATTGGAGTTTGGGGAGGGTGTTGGGGGATAGTCAGAGTGGTGGAAATTGGCTAGAGGTCTGGGGTTAACAGAGACTAGGATGTAGTTGGACAGGCATTAGTAGTTACCCAAAAGTTATAGAAGGTTTCAAGTGAATGGAAACCCTCTGACTGTCTGACTCTAGTTCAGAGCTGGTGTCTTTTTTGGAGTGTACCAGATTTTGGAAAATTGCCCTCAGAAAAATTTGACTTGCCAGGCAATTCAGGTGACTTAGGTGTGTCTGGGTTTCACCATGATCTCAACATACAGCTCCAACCTGCATTACTGCAATAACTATCTCCCATTTCTGCGCCATTTTTACTGATTTCACAATTAATTGATAATACTCAACAGGTATTTTTGGTTAAATCTAGATCAGTCATGACATCTGAAAATGATTGCTCCATGTTGGAATAAAAGGATATTTAAAGAATAATATCATTGAAGACCTTTGATCAACCAAGATATGAGATTTGACATATGATTGTGGATTGAAGAATCTTAGCTGATTATTGAGTGATTTTTTAATGATTTTGTCACTACCATTCTATTCAGAAAACAATTATGAGTATTGATTAGACTCTCCTTGATAAAGTGCTTACTGACAGTAATCATGAACTTGCCTGCTGTTAACTTATTGCCTGCATCATTATTCAACTTGAGATAGTGTTCCAGATTTACTTTTGTCATTGTGCTTGTTTTATTCATCTTCAATCGGAGTTAAGGAGTCTGGAATCTGATCTGTCCTTACAAACAAGTTTTCTGATATTCTGTGTTTGTGTCTTGGAAGTCTAAGATACAAGTTATGATAGGAGCACTGCAATATCAGCACAATAGCCTCAATCTTGCACTGAAACAATTTAGTAGTTGGATTGTTAGGAGTATTGATTATTGATTTGCAATGACAACAAGTGTTAAAAACACCATCTATTTTTGTCAATCACATCCAACTAGCTCAATACCATTTATTGAATACTTTTGATGGCCATTTTTTGTTCTGATGTCTTGAATTTAATTTGGCACCATTCTTTCATTTGCAAATTTTATCACACTCTTTTGTAACTCAAAAGTAAAATACTGCACTTGCTACAAGTCTGAAATAAGAAATAGAAGGTTCTAGAAATACTCAGCAGGTTATGTAGCATCTGTGCAGAGAAACAAAGTTAATGGGTGTTTCAGATTATTGAACTTTTGACACCACCATTAACACTGAAGAGAGGTCAGTCTTGAAGAAGCAACAAAGTTTGTAAGGAAATGCAAATGATAAGCTAGCAACTGACCAGTACACCCTGCTTGAGCTCATTGATGAATCCTCAATTTATATAACTTAGTCAGTAATACAACTTGACCTTCAGATGGCAATGATAAACATAAGCTTGATGTCAAATGCTGAAGATTCTCAAGTCCAGGCAAAATATCGTATTTTTCAAGGAAGAATCATTAACACTACTTGTAACTTTTTTTCCTTCAAAAGACTATCCTTCGACTGCGGTGGGTTACGTGCTCCCACTTCTCAGTTTGCCTCAGTTCTTCTGAGTAAACCTTCAGCTACACTACTTCACTTTGGGTGAGCCTTTGAGCCACTGTCTTGACATAATTTTGTAAGGACTCTCTTGCCTCATTGTTCAACCTTGTCTCATGTTTGCTCAATCTTGCCTCATGGCTCTTCAGATTCAAAAGCACCCTCTACCCTGGATCTGTCTCTATCACTATCACCATGTTCGATCATTTACTCTGTGAGTTCTTCAGGTAATGATACAAGCTCAGGCCTGACTTTTTAGTAGCTTCTTAGTACGTTTATTGTTACACTGCACACAATTATAAGACTACAGAGAAGGAGGCTCCTGTTGTACAGGGTCTGACTTCTGAATGGAATGCTAAAGAAAAGACTATTTACACAAACATCAAGCCCTATCACTATATGCATCTTTATTTCCTTCAGCCCTACAATCCTCCAAGATCACTGTGCTTTTCCAATGCTAATCTCTTACATTTCCTAATTTTTTATCGCTCACAATTTTTTGTCATGCCTTTAGTTGTTTAGGACATGAACTTTGGAATTCCTCAAGCTTCTCCACCTGTACACGCTTCTCAGCCTTTTAGACACTCTGTAAAACCTTCCCTTTGATCAAGCTATTGATCGTCTGTCCTAATATTGACAGAGTTTTAAGTTATGTGTTTGATAATGCCTTGGGATGCTTAATGAGAATAAAAATGCTATCTAACTGCAAGTTGCCATTTTGATCATGTACATTTTTATTTGAAAGGTTAATACATCTGATTAATAATAACAATAATACTTTTTTTTATTCTTCTAATATATAAAAGCTTGAAGTCTTACTTGAAAATTACTTTCAACCTAAAATTTAACATAATATCTATGTCAGGCTTGAGATTATAAAAGTGCAAACGTGCTTTTAAACACAAATGTTCTGCTCTTGTGGTGGAAAAAAAACAGCTAATTATGCACCTCAGAAGGTCAGATATTCAGTTGTTAACATTGCAGACTTCAGCTCAGTAGATTCAAAACCATAACCTGTCCACTGAGAAATTGCCTATTTTGTGTGGGAGCAAAATGATTCAATGTTCTGTTTAATTAACTGAGTGACATAACATTAATTAAGCAACTAACATGGTGTTAAAACTTGAAGCAAATTTGCATCAAAGCTCATAGTATTGTATCCTCTCACTGACTCATTATATGCAGACAGTATTTTGTAAGATGTTTTAATGTAGCAATTATATTGCAAGCTTATGTTTTGCTAATAAACTTTAATTTTCCTACTGGCTTTGTAATAACACTAATGTTGATCAGGTACAACTTCATGAAGGTCAGCAGTTCTTTTCTTTCCTGACCAAGTGGAAATTGTGTATAAACCTAGACTGTGAATGTATACTTGCTGCTCTCCTGTGGAAGGCATCACCATTAAGTCTGATCTCCTTCTCTAACTCATACAGTCTTTTCACATAAATTCATGTCAATGCATTTTTCAGTATCTTATCTAATACTGTCAGAAGAATGAATCTCAGCTGATTTTCTTCTCTTCCTTTGCTAAGTTGTGTTTATGTCAATTGTGTACATTGACTGTTTCCCTGCTTAAGAACACTTAAGTCACAATGAAACCGGGAAGCTTTTTAATCCATATGCACTATGTGTGACTTTACAGGGATTCTGCGCTGTCTGAAGATCATGGTAGCAATGGCTTAGCTGGTACACTGCAAGAACTGTAAATGTTTTCTACAAAGCTTGTAGCTGCTCTTATATTGAATTGAAATTTATTGTAAATTGCAAAAGGTGGCGGTCTCAATGTGATGTTTTCTTTCAAACAACACATTGTACAATTTCTCTGCCAAGTTGGTGCCATACAATGTTGAATTAAACATAATTTGTATGGGAGATTCTTCCATACTTGGGCCAGCAATTGTATAAGTGAATTTCACATACAGTCCTACTGTCAGCAGAAAGAGAAGACATTCATCCCTGTCTGACTTTGATTTTTTAACCAGATTGTCTAGACAATGAAAATTACTTTTTTAAAAAACACGATCTACGATATCTGTACAACTTAGTCTATTTCAAATAAGAAACAAAACTGAGACCTATATCTTTTGCAGATTATGCATATTGCAATTTCTGTGACTTCAATATTAGATTAGCTGAGTTAATAATGGAGCATTACTCAAAACACAATAGAATATTCAAAGACCAACAAATATGAGGAGACTTTAACTGTAAATAGCTATACATATTGTGTTGTACAGGCAATTTTCTATTGCATGTCAATTTTAATGTGTATTTTTCTATTTCTCTGCAGTTTGAAAAGATTTTAATAGAGAAATGCCGTCACCTGATGACAATAACTGAGAGGTAAATTTTGATTTCCCCAGCTTTCACTGAAATTCTCTAGTTTGAACTTTGTCATTGTTTGACATATCGAATATGACATTTTTGCATTGTTATTCAGTGCTAACATTCCTAACCCCAACATAAATTGAATGAAATATGATTCTTCTAGCAATTGGAAGATGATCCTTTTTTGTTAAATTTATCAGCTTAATTCAAAGTTTTAACTTTGCCATAAAGTCGACAGCAGCTATAGAGCTTTTTCAAACTAAATTATTTGAAAATGAATTCCGAGATTTGTTCATGAACCCATAAATTGTTTGGTTCCTTAATGAAAGCTTAAATTTGGAAATTTTTCCCAAAGGTGGAGTTAACACTAATCATGCCATGGTTATACCTTGGTTACAGTGTCCTGAGCTATGTGATAGTAAGTGCTATACTTTAACAAAGTTGCTGCATATTCTGATGAGCTCCAACACAGTTAGGGTGGGGTGTGTGGGTGTGCAGGAGAAGAGGAGGAGGAGGAATTGGTGCGGGATTTTGGGATTCCTATGCCCAGGGTCCTTGATTCCAGGGAGGACCTGTTACTGGTTGCTTAAGTGCTTGACATTAATTTACATTAATTTAATTTTCAATTTTTATTGATGCCTCAGAGTGGACACAACAGTCTATGCCAACATTTACCACCCATCCTGAGTTAACCTCGAAAAGGTGGTGGTGAAGTGCTATTTTGAACCACCACAGTCCTTTGGTGTAGGGATACCCACAGTGTTGTTAGGAAGGGAATTCCAGGATTTTGATCTAGCAACAATGAAAGAACAATAGTGTATTTCTAAATCAGAATGGTGTGTGGCTTGAAGTGGAACTTACAGATGCTATGCATCCATCGCTGTTGTCCTGTTAGGTGGTTGTAGATTTAGAAAGTGCTGTTGAAGGAGCCTTGGTTAGTTGCTGCTAATACAGCTGGTCTTTGCCAACAGAGACATGCATCAGCTGCCCAGGTGGTGGATGAGACCCCCACTGTCTGTTAAATTTTGTGCAATATCATTCAACCAACACTCATGGCACTCCATAGCTAGCTACTCCTTTAGTCAAACAGTTGTTGTTCCAGCAATGCTATTGGCATCCAACTGATAATATGAAAGGTTGTCTAGATATGTCCCAACCAACAGAAAAGGATAATTTATTTGCCAGTCAATTTGCATGCTGTCAGACTCCCACATTCTGCAAAAAAATGTGAATAATCAACAATTCCAACCAGGAAGCTTCAATTCACCAAAAACTTGCTGAGTTCAGGTTCTAATTGAACCATTCACCTCCACACTTCATCACAGTTTTCATCTAGACAAAGAGTAGGAGCTAAATGTTGAGGAGTGGTGAGATTGGGTGCTGTCAACATCTAAATATAAGATCAGGGAGCCAGAACAAAAGCACAATCTTTGGAGTAAGAGAGAAGAAATTGTCATTTCAACATTATGGCAAAATTAAAACTTTGATTTGATACGGGAAGATATTTATTTTGTTGGAGGCCAGTGTCACTATGTCCTCACTAAAGCAAAGACTCCACAGGATCGAATGCCATTCATAACTGAAATTGGAAATAGCACAGGCCAGCTTACAGTCGTACATAGGCAACACTCAGACATAAACTTGACAGATGGCAGAAATCTGTGGTAGGTAATGGTCATATTCAATAAGTGAAAAACCAGGCATCTCCCCTTAGCCTTCATCTGTACCTCTGACATCTACTCCCTGCACCATAAACATCTTTGGATCAATATTGATCAGAACTACACCAGTGATTAAACACCTTGGTTACAGGAATAAGACAGGGAGTCTTATCATCATCTAAAAGGTTCATCATAACCAATTGGCTCTTTCAAAGACTAGCTCCATTCCCTTTGTTTTATCAAAAACATGGCATTTTTTCTTCATTTATTAATCATTCCTGTTTGAAGACTCCTACTGAATCTATATTGACAACTCTATCAGACAGTCCATTCCAAATTCTAACAATTTGTTTCTGTAAAATGCTTTTCCTCATGTTTCTCTGGTTGTTTTGACAATCCCCGTAATCTGTCCACTCTGGTCATCTCTGTTTTGGCTCTTTGAATCAATTTCTCTTTATTTATCTAAAACCTTCAAGATAGTAAACATGTTCCAAGTTGTACACATCTGGCCCAGAATTTAAATCCACAGATCTGAAAAATATCAGTGGGAAAGAAAAAACTTAAGACATAGATATGAAAATTTACTGAGCCAAATATATTCCAACTCCCCATATGCATACATATACTTTTGACCAGTCTTCTTTGTGGCAGTACTATAGCAATTCTGTATTAATACAGAGCAAGGTTACTCTTTACACCAAATCAACCTTTTTACCTTATTGAAATGCTGGAAATTATAGAAATTATCTGAATCTACTTATTGATATAGGAAGAATTTAGTAAATATTTCAATAGAATTATGGGCATACTGTGAAAATCTTTGAAAACACAGAATTTTGCTGACAGGTCATAGTCATCCTATTGAATTGAAATTTTACAATGTCTCAATGTTGGCTGTATATCAACATGATTGAAAAACTAATATTGAACTTGACATTATACGGCTAGTGTCTTACAGTTTTACAGCACAGAAAAGAAAATCCCCTCAGCCAGTCATAAACAACCACCTAAGTATTCTAATCCCATTCTTCAGCACTTGGACCGTAGCCTTATATGACTTGACGTCACAAATGCATGTCTAAATACATTTCTAAAATCTACTTCTCAAATATTATGAATTATTGTCCTACTCTTCTTTAAAACTACCACATGACCTTCTGAATAAGCAAGTCTTAACTCCAGTTTTTTGTTACTATAGCCCCTTCACCAACCTCCCTTTCCTCTCTAAAGTTCTTGACCAGTTTGTCACATCCTACATTTATGCACATCATATCAGAATTCCAGGATTGCAACCAACCTGGATGCTGTCCCATCATAGCAAAAACTGTTTGAATCAAAGTCATTATCACTCTTACCAGCAATGAGTTCCAATTCCCAACTCCTTCTGAGTGAAAAATGTTTTCCGCTCATCCTCTTTAAACTTGTCCCTTGCCTTAAATGGGGGCCTGTTAGCTCAGTTGGCTGCACAGTTGCTTTGTAATAAAGAGTAACGTCAACAGCATGGGTACAATTCCCACACCAGCTGAGATTACCATGAAGGACTCTCCTTCTCAACCTCTCCCATCACCGATGGTGTAGTGACTCTCAAGTTAAACCACCACTATCATCTCTCTCTAATGAAAGAGCAGCCCTATGTTCTAGTAAGCTTACGGCAACTTCACCTTACTTTTTTATCTTAAGTCTTTGACCCCAGTAATTGACTTCTTCAGCAAGGGGAAATGTTTCTTTGTGTCGACCCTATCAATGCCCTTTATAAATTTCTACATCTCAATCATGTCCCCCTCTCTGTTTCCTCTGTTACAAGGAAAATGACCCTATTCTATCCAATCTCTCTTCATAACCGAAACTCTCCAGCCCATACAAGTCCTGGGAAATCTCCTTTGTACACTCTCCAGTGCAATCACAATCTGCCTAAAATGTCAATTCCAGGCACAATTCTCCAGCTGTGGCCTAACCAGCATTTGATTCCATTCTAGTTTAATCTCCCTGTTCTTAAACTCAATGCCTTAACTAATAAAGGCATGTATCCAATATGTCTTTTTAACACATCTACCTGTCTCAATACCTTAAGAAACCAGTGGGCATGCACACCGAGATCCCTCTGTTCCTTGGTGCTTCTCAGGGTTCTGCCATTCGTGATGTAATCCCTTGCCTTTTTAGTTCTACCCAAGTCCATCATTTCCCATTCACCTGAATTGAATCCCATTTGCCACTAATCAGACCATCTGACCAACCAGTCCAAATGCTCCTGTAATCTCAGGGCACTATATATATATCACAAACAGCAAAGCCCCAATACTGATCCCTGCAGAACTCTGCCTCATACAGGCTTCCAGTCACAAAAGCAGCCCCCATCCATCATCCTCTGTTTTCTGCCACTCAGCCAATTTTGGATCCAATTAGCCAAATTTCCTTGGAGACCATGGGCTGTTACCTTCACTGTCTGTACCCCATGTGCACATCATCAAAAGCCTTGCTGAGGCCCAAGTAGACTATGAGGACTACGTTACCCTTATCTACTCACCTGGTCACCTGTTTAAAAAATTCAGTTAAGTTGGTCAGATTTGACCTTCCCTTAACAAAACCATGCTGGATTAATCCCTGCCTTTCCAAGTGCAGACCAATTCTGTCCATCAGAATTACTTCCAATAATTTTTCAATCACAGAGATTAGGCTGTCTTGCCTCCAGTTTCCTGGTTTATCCCTTGCTGTCTTCTTGAATAATGGTGCCGTATTAGTTATCCTCCAACCGTAAGGGTGGCACAGTTATTACTGGTGGAGAAGTGACCTGAGTGAGCGAGTAGGCAGCACAGAGGACATGCAGTGTTTCAGGTATTGCGGCTGTGGTGGATGAGGGAGAGTGGGGAAGATGTTACAGAGAATAGTAAGAGTGGTAGAGCATGAATCGTGGTGGAAAGTGAGTACAGGAGCACAGATAGAGTAAGCTTGTGGTGTTGGAAAGAAGATGGTGTCACTTATGTAGCCATCTTCCTACAACACTGTGCATTTCTCTTGTTGGCTGAGACTGCTTTATCCCAGTTGGCAACTTTGGACCTAACTAGCATGTCTAGTGTTGTAGCCTCCACTGTTGGTCCTGTGCCAAGAGGACATCCCATCTTTGTACTACCCTGTCCTGCAGGACCTTACTCACATAGTGGGGCACAGATTTCCCTCTGTTGGCCATGTCCAGGGCAAATGCCAGAAATCATACAGGGCAGCTCTGGACTGATGGTTCTTGTCTGAGTCTATATCCTACATTGTTCAGTTTCCTATAAGATTCCTCATGTAGAGTTGCTTTTGTTGTAATAATGTGAACATTGACACTAGGGTATTATTGTCATATTTGTATTGTTTCAATTTAAAATAAATAGTTTTTGTAATTCTTCCTGATATATTGAAAATTAACCCCAAAGGTTAATTTAATTTGTACCATTATTGTGATTTAACCTTTTGCATGTTCTTTCCTTACAGCTGTATGCCTGATGAAGATGAAACAACAGCATCCTCTGTGAAAACTGAGATTGTTAATACTCTAACATCATTTAGCCAGTCATTCAGTCAGATGGTGGAACTAGCTTTAACCCATGAAATACAGGTTAGTATCGTATTGTAAATTATAGGCCTTTTATAATACTATTTTAATTGGTAGAAGAGGTAGATAAATTCAGTTAAAGTGCCTTTTTGAAGACCAGTTCTTAGTCATTAATGTAAGTATTTATTTATTCTGAGATTAATTGTGCCCCCTTAGTTCTCATGCATGGATATATGCATGAGTATCAAAAATTTAAATTACTTTAGGTGATATAGATTCAAGGACTTCATTAAAAATATATACTTTTCCTTGGTTTTTGTGGGATCCTGCTATCTTAAAGCCATTCCTAGTGGCATTAAATCATGAAGAAAACACAATAATGTATGGGTACTTTTATTTTGTTATTGTAATGAATCATTTGAGGCTGAAAATGTCTGGAATATATGATTTCATGCTATATGGATTGTAATGTATTAAGATATCTTTACATGTGAAGATTAGAAAGTTGTTTTAAATATCTAGTTCATTGTTTATGTTAATATTTTAGAGTTAATTTTTATTTATGGGAAGACTAAAGCTATAAAGCAAAGGTAAACAAAACAGTGAGTTTCAGAGAATGCCAGCTCATCGAAAGAATTGGTAGTTCTATAGAATATCCATATTTGTTTAATAAAGTCAGAAAAGCTTTAAAATAGAAGATGTCACTTCACAAAAGAAGAATTGGACATGAGATGTCTCTATTACTTGCAGTAACAGCTGTTCATAGACATTTTTGTTTTGAGATGGAGCTAAATTAATTTAAAGCCCTTACTGAACCCTGACCACTTGTAAAATCTAGTTACTTGATCAGATCAGAGAAGAAATTGCAGATGAGGGATAATTAATCTAAAGGTCAGTTTGAGGACACCACAAGAGCAAGTTATATTGTTATGGACTTGATGGAGGTAAGTAAGATTGTTTGATTTCAACTTATCTGGATGTTTGTTGAAGGCGTTAATTGCAATTTTGATCTTAAATGGCTTGCAAGTCACTGAGATAGCCAAGGTACATGATCATAATATAGAGCTGTGCTGTTAGCAGAGTTTATGAGAAACAAAACTAACTTCTTTATTCACTGTATGGAAAGTAGGTGAAGATTAATTTCAGTTTGAATTTTGTGAGGGAATAGAATCTTCAAGAATGCCTAGATTGAAACCAGTGGAAGAAACTACAATTGGTGTCCACAACATCTTGTGCCAAAGAAAGCAACATGCACAGAAGCTGAGAACTATTGAAAAAAGTAACTAGTATAAAGGCATCCACATTCAAGAGATGGTAGATTCAAATCTAGCCTCTGAGAATAGTTTTTGCTGAGGAGAATACATTGGAGGACTGTGGCATACTTATGTGTGGCTTCTACAGAAATAAATCAGGTTGATGTATCTTCTAAGATAATTCTCATATCCTAGCATATGTGGTTATAAGTTATAAGGTTAGCTCATCATAATTGCTTTGTTTAATTTGTTTGAGACAATAAAGTTTCTGTCTTGCATTTTTCTTAGGAAAAATGATGAAATCATGTGGCATTGTTCTATTGGTTAAATTGAGGTACTCAGATTTCTCTTTAAATGTTAGTGCTTTCATACTGGATCATAGCAAAGTGAAATTGCATAATCCTTAACCTCTCAATGTGGTGTATATGGGAAATTATCGGTATTGAGGCAAGTATTTTAGTTTTCAATTGCTAACTTTATTGCTTAAATTACCTAGGATTATTCAATGGAACAAAACGACAACCAAAAGATATTTACATTCAAAACAATTATAGTTTTTTTCTGGACCTCAGTGTATGTAAATGTAAGATATCATGTATGTATTCCCTTTCAGAAATAATATAGGACAATTTTATAGTTTGCTGGTGAAAAGAGATCATGTTTTAACAATTCTGGTTATTACTTGCAGACTGAAATGCCCTATATGGCATTGAAATGCACACATTTGCCATTTTTGTTGTACAATGAGGCTGACCTCAAATCTTATGATTCTGAAAAATAAGCAAAGGTGTTCAGAATTAAGTTGAAGCAAGAGTTTTGCATTTACTTTATTCCCCATTGCAAAAATCACAGAACAAGGCATTAAAGCAGGTGCCATTGTTCTCAAAGTGACAAAATTAATTGTTTTGGAATTTTGTATCAATTTTGCAATATTGTAATATGCAGTGAAAGAACCACAAAGTACATCTTATCCACTCCAGTGCTCTTCACAAAGTCCAGTCCTGTAGTTGTAGAAATTTGAGGGATTTGCTGGAATCTCAAGCAATGCCAGGTCACTTATTTTGTGAGGTAGATGATTAGATTCAAATTTAAAATACACCAGATGTTTAGAAGGCAGATGTTTAGAAGGCTGTGTTTACTGGCTTTCCTTTGAGTTTGACTTCTAGTGAATTTTAATGTTAGTGTTTAGTGTTTCAATGTGTCACTCTTGGCGTATGAAAGTTGAAGCTATGAGTGTGCTGAATGTATTTTGTATTTTTGGTAGTTATAATATAGTCAGTGGCTGTCTGATTATGAAATTGTAGGGATGCTAAAAGTGCCTTTTACGATCACTGCAGTTTCCAGAGTCTTGTAGGAGGTAGGAGTCATTCACCTCTTTGGTCTAAGTTATCGAGATCTTAGGGATCAGATAAAGTTAACAGAAAGATGTTAATTTCATTACTGGACTATATGCAGAAGAACTTCAAGAACACATGAACATTCTCGACCCTTCCTTTGACCGTCTCTAGCTCTACCTCTCTGTCTGCCTATCTGTGTTGTTGTTGTGCCATCACCACGGTGGGTGGCGAATATCATGCTGTTCCAGGTAATAACTATTTCAGACATGTATACAAAATCTCTCACAAGTCATTGTACCAATTAATGTATCATTATTACATAATAAGCATCTGGTTCATCCCAATTGGTGACTGGGTTAATGTCTCTGATGTATTGGTATAAGATTCCTTCAATTTCGTTTTGGATTGCCTTCTGCTGTATGTATTATGCAAGTTCTTTGTTCATTTTCGATGCTCTGGAAAATCATATCTTCTTTGTTTTGATCAAAACAGTCTTAAAGAAAACAACAAGCCTAGTATTATATCAAAGGTATTGTGCTAAGAATTTACCAAATATCTGAGATGGCAAAGAACTAAAGTTTGTGAAATTAATGACTTATATGAAATAAAGTGCAAATTTACATGCACTGCATCATCCCCTGTGCCATCAAAGTGATCTCAATAAGTTGTGAAGTTATTCACTTTGGAAGCAAAAGCAAGAAGGCAGATTGCTACCTGAATGGCTGTAAATTGGGAGAGGGGGGTGTGCAGCAGGACCTGGGTGTCCTTGTGCACCAGTCGCTGAAGGTAAGCATATAGGTGCAGTCAGCGGTAAAGAAGGCAACTGGTATGTTGGCCTTCATTGCAAGAGGTTTTGAGTACAGGAGCAGTTTCACACGGCCTTGGTGAGACCACACCTGGAATATTTTGTGCAATTTTGGTCTCCTTTTCTGAGGAAGGACGCTCTTGCTCTCATGGGAGTGCAGCAAAGGTTTACCAGGCTGATTCCAGGGATGGCTGGTCTGACTTATAAGGAGAGATTGACTAGGTTGGGGTTGTTTTCACTAGAGTTCAGATGAATAAGAGGGGATCTCATAGAGCATTATAAAATTCTAACAGGACTGGACAGGGTAGATGGAGGAAGGATGTTCCCGATGGTGGGTGTGTCCAGGGGTCACAGTATGAGGATTCGGGTGAATGCTTTAGGACGGACATGAGGAGACATTTCTTCACCCAAAGAGTGGTGAGCCTGTGGAATTTATTACCACAGGAAGTAGTTGATGCCAAAACATTGAATGTATTCAAGAGGCAACTAGATATAGCACTCGGGGCAAATGGGATCAAAGGTTACGGGGAGAAAGCAGGATTAGGCTATTAAGCTGGATGATTAGCCTTGATTGTGAAGAATGGCAGAGCAGGCTCGAAGGGCTGAATGGCCTCCTCCTGCTCCTATCTCCTATGTTTCTATGTCTTCTTCCCCTCTCTCCCATTGTCTCCTGGTGTACTCCCAGGTTCCACAGCTGATATGGAGGAATTCTGCTCAGTCATGGAAACTGATAGCCCTGGAGGTTTGTTCAGATGACCTCACTTCTGTCTGGAGGGGCCAGACATGCCAAGGGTCTTCTTACCAGAAGCAGACTGACTTTCCTTGGTGTGAATTTCCAAGGGCTAGAGGGGTTGGGCAAGGTGGAGATGGAGGGCCTTTCTACCCCTGGAGGGTCCTGAGTGGAGATTTCTGAGGGTGCTGCATGTGATTCCTCCTCTGACTGGGTGTTTCCTGGCATTGTCCTGAATAAGGAGAACCTGGAGTGCATGCCAGGCTCTCTGTCCCCCTGTCATCATGCCTTTAGTCCTGAGGAGTAGAGGGTGGAGTGCAGGTGTATGTCCCCTTTAGATTCGGAAAGTGCTGAACATGACTTTCCATGGCAACCGCCAACCTGTCCATGGAGGCAGATAGACAGTTGCATGATTTGCTGCAGTGTTGCAGCTTCTGGGTGATGGAGGACTATTGCATCCCACATACCTGTCTGCCATTCGTGTCTGCCATTCCCATCTGCCATTCCCATCTGCCATTCCCGTTTCGCTCTGAGCATCTGAGTGAAGTCTCTGATTGCTGATACCACAGTGTCCTCTCCTTCCTGGGGCTGAGCAATTGTCTGATCTCTGGCAGTCCTCCAAGTGCCAGTGGCCTGGGGCATTTATATTCCTCAGCCAGATATGAAGCTGATGCCATGAGGTGCTCACCAGAATGTGCTCCTGTAATTTCTGAAGCTAACGTACACACTGGGGTGCCAGTAGCTGAACTGATGAAGGGTGTAAGAGGCAGCCTTGCCACTGCTTCCTTTGAGGCCTCAGTACTCTCCTCCTCAGGGCTTGAGGATGTGGCTTCATGTGAAGCTGGGCATTTCACTGTGAAGGTTGTGAACATGCTAGCTGAAGCTGAAAGACTTGAGAGAGAAGGTAATGCAGCCAGTGGTAAGAAGTGGTGTGCATT